TAAAATTCACTTAGCAAACATAATTCCTTCAATATTATCAGTACACATCTGGATCTGATGAATATGTAAAACGATTTGTAAAATAATTTACACTGATAGGCATTGCCGATAATCCGGCGAGACATGTAAAGTAACAAATTTTCTCCATTGGCATATTAACCATTCTGTCGTATTTTCATCAAACTTTACTTTCACACAAACACATGTACACAGACATATAGATTGATTGGAATTCATTGACCCACTTCTAGCAGTTGACTACTTCTTCTACGCGCCGCTGGCGAATCTTATATGTGTTGTTCTTATTATTATCGTTCATTACCAACCTTTGTTTGATTATTCTATTCAGTAACCTTCCCTAGGTTACAATATGCTTGTATAATAATCGTCGGTTCTAAATTTTAGTATATAAAATAAAGTCTATTAAATCATTTTGAATCATCGATCTCAAAATTTCCACTTCTACAGCAGTTCTTTGCAACGGAGTATAAAGGACATTTGTCAGTCCATTGTTGAATCATACACTCATGGATTTCCTTTCAAGGTTTTTTTTTCTGCAAGAAAAATTTTCTGACATTCCAGTGCATCGTTGACTGAACCACGTCATTGGAAATTATATGCTTCAGGCAATGATCGAAAACAGTTTAAAAAATAAACTTAAAGGTTCTGAAATATAAAAAACTTAAAGGTTCTGCAATATAAAAAACTTAAAGGTTCTGCAATATAAAAGAACTCTCTTTCCAGTCACAATGGCAAAGTAACTTTGAGATTTCGGAAACTGGATCGAACGAAGAACATTTCAAAATATCCTCGGATATATTTCTTTATAACTTGATTAACAAAAATTGAGTTGAATAATAAAGTCTCACACCACTAGTGAAGCGATTGTAAATATTTCTAATAAAAAAGATATCAACCGAAATTGATATGGTGTATTGTTCATATAAATATGTTTATGATGAAAATATTATCAAATTTAGTTGGTTAATAACTAGGTTTTGTGAAAACATTGACTTAAATTCTGATACATCACACACACACACACACACACATACACACACACACACACATATATATATATATATATATATATATATATATATATATTTATCTATGGATGTATGTATGTGTATGTGCGTGTGTATGTGTCTGTTTAAAGTAATAATAAACAACAGAATTTTACAAAACTCCTTTCTTAGTCGGACCGAGAATTTTTCACCACCACCTCTTATTTTTATATATTTGATAGTCAAATAATCGAATATTTCTTTTTCTTCTTAAAGATATTTTCGTTCATGAAATTAGTTTTCAGAGATATTTTTAAAGTACTGCCTTTTAAATTATTTCTTCTCTTTCAAGTCACTTTATCTAAGAGATAGAATGAGAGAGAGAGAGAGAGAGAGGGAGTGTGTGTGTGTGCGTGTGTGTGTGTGTGTGTGTGTGTGTGTGTGTGTGTGTGTGTGTGTGTGTGTGTTTGTGTGTGTGAATGAAAAAGTGGGAAAGCAAAGCCAGAAGACATTTTTACGATTTAATCTTCATCTCCACAACTTGTTGGAAATGTTTTCTCTTGAAACTTTCACTGTGAAGATGAGTGTGCTCATATTCCAAATACGCGCCCGGCGGGGATTTGAAACTTGATATGTCGAATTATCTAAAGCCTGAAGCAAAATTTCATTTAAATGAATGTATTCCGCGGAAGTGTTGAAGATCTATCAACCTTTTGAAAGATTATATATTTTTTCTTTGCTAAATAAGTATCATGTTATGAGTTTCAATTTTGTAATGAAAAAAATCTTTACGTTTTCAACATAAATTTATGGAAAAATATTTATTTATTAAAACAATTTTAACTTGATCCCAACAAATATAGTGACACAGGTTCCTTTTAAAATAAATTTTTGTTCAGATGTAGATATATTCCGTAGACCTCAACGAATGACTTACTCTTTTTGTTTAATTTCGAGAGAAAATCTCACAGATATGTTGTAAAATAAATTGTCAACGATGTCTTTTCGTAGTGTCACGCCAAATGTGAATGGCGCTTAATTAGAGCTGAAGACGACAGCTGATAAAGAAGCTAAGATTTATTTGGACGGCGTTGAACTCAAACGAACAATTCCCGATAAATTGTCACCCGAACAGGCAGAAAGTCTCTCCATGAAAAGTTTAATTTATACCCACCACACGCACACACACACACACACACGTGCGCTCACCAAGAGAGTAATCACCCATTCTCTCATTTACATTCACGTCCTTTCGATGTTGCACGCTATTTGTGTCATGAAATAGAGGTCCAGTTTGACAGCGAAAATAAGTTTTGTTCAAAATAGCCTTGTATTCGCATTATTAGAAAAAGCCAAAAAAAAAGGACATAGTTCTTATCCATAGTTCTTTTCTTGGTTTTATCTCTAAACCCTCACCATAATTTACATATTACATAATTTATGTATTATTATGTAATTCACAAATCATTACACATTTTATATATTATTAAATAATGTACATATTATTACGTGATTAATATATTATTACATAGTTTACATATCAGCTTTTCAACGAATATGGCAGAAAGAGCGGCATCTGTTAAGAAATGAGAAATGAAAAGTTACGGCTAAAGAAGAACAGAAAAAATAGGACAAAAGAAAGGAAAAAATAACACAGTGAGAAAGAGACGAAAAAGAAGAAATGAAAAGAGAAAAATATGAAAGATGAGGATAAGGAAAAAGGCAAGAGGGAAACAGGGAAGAAAATACAGAAAAAGAAAGAAAGAAAGAAAGAAAGGAGAATTAGCAAAGTGGGGGAAAGTGACAAAATGGCGATACCTAAAAATGAATTTTATTTGACATTTTTAAAAAAATTTTGTGATAACTGCCTGAGGTTTAAAGAACTAAGTGAAAAGAACTAAGGCATCATTTCCTCCGGCAGACTTTATTTTTGTTAATATTAAATGACGATATCACATCCTGGTTGGTTGTTTAGCGTTTCTCCTGTCATGGCTATTTCAAAATGAACTGATATTTTTAATGCAAATATCAGCACAAAATTCGAAACGGCTTTTTATTGGTAAGTCGTCTCGCATAAAACATTCGAGATGTTTTGAATTTTGCTACTTTTAGATCTAATTTTAGGGGGACACTCTAAAAAAATAAACTAGGCTAAATTAGGTAAGAGATGATAAGAAAGACATTTCAGAATTAATAACTGTTTTGTTTTTGAATGTCGCTCGATACTCCACATGTAGACAACTGAAATGGAATAATTGCATCTTGAAACGTGAGATAATTTCAATTATAGCAAACACGAAAATGCAAAAATATACATAATATGTAGCTTTATGTATCAAGCAAAGCAATCTCCAAGCAAACAAAAAAAGGAAAAAATATGTTACTGATAATTCTAATAAGAAGTCAAGAAAAAATATTCATCTTCTCAAAAGAAGTAAAAAATACAGTATATAAAAATCATACATTTTCAATTATTTTCTTATACAAGACACGCTTATATCTCGGTTGATTATCTATAATTTAGTCAATATATATTATGTTTGAAATCGAATTATAGATGTGCATGCATGAGTTTCTTCTGTAATGGATGTTCTACCAAGAAAATGAACATCGCTTCAAAATTCTCTCGGTGAAAAAACTTTCAGTTTATAAAACAGACAACTTTTATTCAGAAAAAGCTGGATACAGGTAGAAAAAAGAATGCAATTCCCCCAAAGAAATTCCCTGTATTTGCCGTATTTCATGGTATTTAACATTGTCCCGTTTACATTTAATATTACAATATTACGAAATTAGTCTAAGAGCTAGAACTCATGGGCAACGTCATGTGGGTAAATATTAATCTTACCGGATATCTGAACACCGTCTGTAAAACTTGGGAGATATTTTGGGGCTTTTTAGACACTAAATTAGATGTTTTTAGTATCTGTCTAAGTTTCTGACATGAGGTATTATGTACACTATATACATTGTTCGGACTATCATCCTCGTCTTTGTTGCCACGTTTATCACAACGTCTTGGCATTCTTCAGGTGGTTGGAATGTCGTACTGAACCCTTAATTTCGCTCGCTGCTCGAAGACACATGGCACATTGGATAATGGCGTTAGTTAGATCCAGTGACAGGACCCAAAGAGTGTGAGTTCAATATCTGGTTAAGGCAGTTGAGAACTTTCAGAGGCGAATTAACAGGAGATAACTGACATCCATTAGACATGGCACGTGGAACTAGAGCAGCGAGCGAAATAGAGGGTTCAGTTCGAATGCAATTTCATAGTGTCAAAGAAGGTATATATATATATATATATATATATATATATATATATATATATATATAAAAAGAAAGAACAGTAAGATATAAAATCCGGTGTTCTTATAGATATTTTTATTTTTACAAAATAGTGCTCAATGTAAATTTACAGAGCATTAATATTATAAATTAATTGATTTAAAATATGGTTTTTTTCGCTACACAGTTCCAACCATGTTTCAAAAATAGAAGCTAAAAACCCCGAATTTAATTTTGCAATTAAATTAAAAGCATTAGTTCCATTTCATCTTCAAGCGAATTTTGGAGTAACTTATATATATATTGCTACTAGCAGATGTAAACAAGAAACAACATTAATATAAAAGAAAAACTCGTAAAAAATGAAAAATCATTATACTTCATCTTAGAAATTCCTACAATATAATACTATTACATTTAGAACTCCTACCAGGAATAAACAAACAATATGACGACAAAATAAAATGGAATAAAGAAGAATGAGACCCAACGACTAAATTTAAATGATGTCTTAAGTCTTAAGCGAATCGTTCATAAACACGTTAGCATAAATTGTTCGATTATATCGATCTCAGTCATTTCATATACGTATGTAGCTATCTTCATATTAATCATTGATATAATGCAAGATAAATATGAAGTTTTTTTCTCTTTCAAAATATGACGTTCAAGTATTAATTTTCTCTTTTAATATCTCAGTTGTACATGGGAGCCATAATAATAGAGTATTTGACAACTGGTCTTCGCAAGGTGATGTAGGATCGATTCGGGAAAGATGTTCGATTTATAAATTATTGGGTAGAAAATTTGGTTCCTCCTGTAAAGCTCATTTTCTTTCTCTTTCTCATCCTTCATTCCAATTCTTGATCCATTTATTTCTTTATTTTTCATTCTTTCCTTCTTTTTTTTTTGCCTTCCTTATCTTCTGCTTTTCTTTTATTCTTAGTTTGCATTCCTTGCTGTCTCCTTTTCATCTTTTTCCATATATTTCTTCTCCTTCCAGCCATTCTGATAGTCATCAATAGTTCACTTCTACTCTGTTTTTTTTTTCATCTCTTTTAATCCATTCATTCATATTTTGACCATTGTTTACACCAGTCGTCCGTTCATTCTTTATTCTTTCCTTTCTTTCTTGCTACTTTCCTTCATATTATTTTGATTATCCCTATTTTTTCCCTTTCCTATTTGTCTTCTCGCTTTCATTTTTCATTTAGGCATTCTTTTTCTTCACCCTTTTCTCTCGCACCTTTCATCCGTTCCTTTTCTCTTCTCTTTCTTTCCTTCTTTCTTTTCATTTTCCTATTTCTTCATATTTCCTTCCGTTCTTTTTTTTCCCTTTTCTTCTTCTAGTTCGTTTTATTCCGTCTCTTGACAAATTCTTTCCAACTGTCTTTGAAGTTCACATCGGTCACTCCCATTTCACCCATGCCTTTCGCCACTGTTCGATGATGGCTTCTTTTCTTTTTGCTAGAAATAATCAAACATTCGGTTCTATTCATAAAACAACTCAACAATGTATCTACCATTCCCAAGTGGCTGTAAAACGAGATGTTTTTTTTTCAGGCACTGCGCCATGTCTATTTCGTCAAGGAAAGACTATTATATATATATATATATATATATATATTCCAAGAGATTTTCAGGCTGAAGTAAAAAAAAAATGGCCTTTTATTTAAGGCTTTATTCAATAATTCGTTGGCTTCTATTTACCAAACACAAAACAGCTTTTAACAATGTGGAATTTGCCATTCTACTCGACATTGGCAGGGATGATAAGGTATAGCACTACAGACTAGCATTGTTCATTTTGTAGTTAGTACGTTTGGGTCTATCCATTCATCAAAATCCTTCAGATATACAGTGAATATGGCAGAAGACAATCCTTCATTTTACATGCAACGATTAAAGAAATAGATCAGCCGAAACGCTGCTAGGAAAGACGAAGAATGAATCAGCCGAATCGTTGTGGCAACAAGGAAATTATATATATATATATATATATATATATATATAGAGAGAGAGAGAGGGGGGGAGAAGGCGAACAATATTCCGATTTCATTTTCACGAGGAATGTTAATAAATTTCATGAAAAATTTCTGATCATGCTGAAATGAATGATATTCAAGCAATCCGATTCAATGGCAGCTTTAAGGTCCTAAAACACTTGCGTCACTCTGGTGAAAATCTTAAGGACAATAAAAATAAAGAAAAAATATAACTTTTTGCGTTGTTAGACTGATGCACTTAACATTTAAAAACTGTTTTATTATTTAATAGGGAAACTTTGAATACAAGGAAATTAGGCTAAATACTAACTGGTTAAAGGTTTAAGACCATATCGTTTAAACGAAGCTATAATTGGTGAACACATAACGAAATTTAGTCATTTGTTTTCAAACTTCGAATAAATTACGGTTTCCTACACTGTTTTCTGTTTGAATGCATTTTGAAATTTTGTTTTCCTTTGTGCATTGTGGTGGTTTCAGCGGAAATGGCGGTGCTTACCCAGCATGTGAAACAATTCGTCGACTTGGGCCTCTGCTACATTCCAAAAGAAGGATGCACAACATTTTGCGGGCATGCAGGAGCATTTCTGCGACTATATCTCTAATAATGAGCTCCTAACGATATTATCAGCCCTAGAAGTGGTGGCAACAAAGACTATCTATCTACTAAGCACAGATGTCAAGACCAGAAAGTTGGTCGGTGTTAGCAGGGAGACGATTGAGGAGGATCTAACGAGCCTGAATATTGACGCCAGTGTCTTGACAAAGTAGAGTAATGCTATGTTGAACATCATGCTGGCATCTGAAGAGATTTCCAAGTAATTAGCAGGAAGAATCCTCATGACCAAATCCGTAAGATTGCAGACCGAATATATGGGCATCTAGGGTTACATTACACGGGATGCACATGGACAATTTCGAGGACCATTTAGGGGATTTTTTCTCACACTATGGACCTGTCGGAGATGTCTCCCTCTTTGTAAGCAAAGAAGGCATTGTCGATGGAGACTGTGTTGCAGGTGACAGGTAACCGCCAAAAACTTTCGGAAATCACAGATATGCCAGGGAATGAATATCTTTCAAGGTTGCAGTAGTGGGGAGACAAAACAATAGTCCGTAGAGAAGTCTTGATCCCTCTTCCGTTTCGTGGGGGGGGTCTTTATGCCACACTTAACAGATTGACAGTACTCAAGACAGCGTTTTGTACGCTGCACGTTGACAGAGGAGCATTAAAGTTGCCTTCCCTAACCTTACTATCACTCCTTTACATCTCACTGCTGAGTGCTGACGTAAGCCTCACCGCCAGAAGGCTTTCCTCAGCGAGTGTCGTTCAGTGACCTTTCATGGCCTAGAAAGGCATTTTATCGGACCCACTCTGTGACCGGCTTGGCTTGTTGTCAGATGAGTTGCGCTCTTTCTCGCCCCGAGCGCCGGTGGCAGATTACCTCAGTAGACGTGAGTTTTCGCTTACCTGGCGATTATTTTTTAATGTGTTGCCTCTCAAATACGGGAATTTCAAGACGTGCTTGGGAGACATGCCGGATTGTCACCGTTGTGATCGTAGTTCGAGTGAAACGGCCAAACACGCCTTCTTCAACTGTCCGTTGTTCAAGCTGACGACCTGTATCGATCTCGAATATCTTTTGTCCATCGATCTCTCGTACGCGTGGCGATAATGTGTCATCCCAGTGGTCCGTTCTGAAGCAGTTGATGTTTCTCACGCTATAAAATGTGGCAAGAATGATGGTGAAGCGAATAGAGGGAATCTTACGTGGCGAATACTATTTGGATCAGGATCTGATTGGATTCTTTGCATATCAGATGAGGATGAAGATTAGAACGGATAGAAAGCGTTTGATTTCGCCAGAGTTCAGCAAAACGTTGGTGCGAGCTGCGTTCATATGAGTCGGACCAATCCTGTTTTCCTATTTTAGACTCTTTAGTAAACAACAAGACGAATTCTTGGCGGATCCCACTCCTTGTTAAGTTAGTCACTTTTGTTCGCCCTGTTAACGTCATTCCCGGCCTTTTCCTGATTTTTTTCCTTTTGGTTTTTGTCAAGATTTCTGATCTGCCCAGTTTTTATCTTCGCTTTTCATCTTGATTGCACCAGCCTTGTTTATTTTCACACCCCCAAATTGATTTTGTCTAATGAGGGAGTTTCTTGAACCTGTTTATCGGCCCAATACAGCGGTCAATGTTGGTTTTCTGGGTCCATATTAACATTCGTTTGAATGTTTTCTTTTATTTTAATTATTGGGTTAATGCACCCTCCCTTCATGTCATGTGAAAATTTTAATGCATTTTTTGGAAAAAAATAATTGTACATATTCAGAAATATTTATCTTCATTGGGGGTTTTATTAGATCCGCTTTGAAAATGTGGCATTGTTTGTACATGTTCGGATTGGATGGGGAAGGATATGTTCTTGTGATGATTGCGTCAATTGTTAGAAAGAATGGGTCGTGAGTCGGATTAGCTAGGTGTAGACTAGACAGCATCGACCAGCATTTCCCCACTTCTCCTTCGGCCTTGTACCACAAAACAATTTAATTGTTTAAATAAACATTTGTGTTCAAGTATTAATGCAGTCAACATCTACCACTGGTATCTCCTGCGTTATATTAGCTAAAAAAATGTAAATGTTTGAATGTGGCAGAATTGTCGATTTGCAAAGGCAAGATCTCTCTCAATGTTATATCGCTGGTGAGATTGGACTGTTGCTAATTTCTTAATAGACCCTAAGGGATACGGATCGAGAATTTCATATGGTCGGCTCAAGAAAATTTCGACGGCGTTAAGCAAAAGCATTCGACGGGTTGTCCGACATCAGCCGATCAAACGAACCAGATAAAGGTCTTTACTGATGCAGAATTCAGCTCAAGAACAATAAAACAGCATCTCCGATGGAAAGGCTTTAAAAACCGTAAACGTCTCCGGGCCTCTTTCCATACAACAAAACAACTTCGCTGGGAAGCGCCGAACACACCACATAGAAAAGTGGAAGAAGTTTTTGTTCTGTAATGAGAAAATATTTAACATGTTCGGTTCTGATGGTTTCCAACAATTCTGGCACTGGAGAAAGTTTTTATATGACACACTCAAGAAGGTTCTATCATGATCTGGGGTGCTAATTCTTTCCAACGAACAATGTAGCTTCAGGTTATACAAGGGCATCAAATCGCATCGTTATTGATTAAAGGCCCTCGCTTGTATGGAAATCACGGGCTCTTTCAGCAGGATAACGATGCACTCCATAACGACCGCAGGACAAAGGATTTTTGTATGGCGAATAACGTGATTATTTTATACTATCCAGCATGTTCGCTCGACCTGAACCCCATTGAAAATGTTTGGGGGTGGATGCCAAAAGAAGTCTATAAAAATGGATGTGTATGATCTTCGTGTAGCCATCTTCCCCACTTGGAATAACATTGCAGTTAGCTTTCTATATACGTTTATATCGACCATACCAAAGTGAATCTTTGAAGTCATTCGCAATGACAGCCGTGCATTCTCCCCTAATTACGCTTTAAAAAAAAGGGAATTTCGGACACTTTTAATTAATCGCTATATTGATTTGGTCTAATTGGAAATTGTATTTGTTCGAGAATTCATTGTTTTCCTCTTTATACAAGAGACATTAAGAAGGTTCATAGAATAATTAAAGAACAAAAAGCAACAAAAATGTTTAAGCATGAGTTTTATTGATCCACATAAGGTCCATCAACATCAAAGCATTTCCTGTGAGCAATGTCATCAGATCTATTCAATCCCGGAAGAAGTAAGCATCCTGAAAATTTAACAATGCAGACCTTTTTTTACGCCATTAATGGTCTCTTTTCTTTTAAAATTTAGAAATAAAAAGTCAGGAGGGGCCAAATCACTATTGTAAGGTGGGCGTCTAATGATTTGCCATCAAATTTCTTATAATGATTCCATTTGTTTGATGAGCAAAATAGGTAGAGGCATTGTTGTAGAAAACGATATTCTGATGATGCCACCATAATCTTTCCTCCTAAACGGATGAATCCATTTATCCTTTGGCTATTTTTAAACTGTTAATTTTTTCAGATTATCGTTATAAACTTTTCTTCAAGTACGAATAATTTCTTCAACCTTCCAGTTAAGTCTCACTCTAAATTTGATGTTAGTTCTTGCTTCACTTATGACAAGATGCATGCTGATCTAAAGTGGCTTGATTTTAAGCTGATATAAACTTCAATTTATTATCTCCAAATAATTCCTGTTCATTTCGTTAGCTGCAAACGATTAATTTATTTACGTAGTTTCATTATAATATGGTCTTCCCAAGAACGTTTTCAATGACCCGGTTTCTTTTCAAAAGGCTAAAATGATAGCGTATTATGAAGAATGATTTTTGAATGACATTCAAACTAAGTCCTTCTATTGATAACCAGTGATATGCTCAGAACGAACAATTTGACCAAACTAATAGGTGAATGGATAGCAACGAAGTGATAACTTGTTATAGAACAAAATATTAATTATTTTTAGTTTTGTACAAAAAATATCAGCTAATTTGTTTATTGTTTCGATACTTCTCCTTCAATATAATTTTATCTGTTATTTCGATGTCACCATTATATTTTCTAGAAGAAAAAGAAGAGAAATCAACTAAAATATAATCATTTCTTCCAGTGAACCAGTGGAATCTTTCAAAAGAAAACGTGGTTTTCTTTAGACAAGTGTACTTGTTCTCAGACAAGATTAAAATAGATATTCGATTTTTACGCGAAAGATGTAATAGTTGGTAGAATGGTCAGTCAATGCTGGTGGTGGAGAAAAAGGCATTTTGCATTGAAAATCAGCTTTCATAATATTAGGGTTCAAAACTATTGCAAAATTGTGAACTGTGGCGAAAATAAAGAAATAATTCACCAAAGCATTACGGATTTTATAATAGAATATTTACTTCACGGCGAATAGCAACGATTAATATTCAACACACTAAACAAATTTCTTTAGATAATTATAATTTTACTGAGATAAGAAATTACCGTCAACCTATCTATCTATCTATCTATCTATCTATCTATCTATCTATCTATCTATTAACTTTATTCACTCAGTAACGCTTATACTAATAATTACTGAAAATCCTTTTCTTTCCAATTTCCAAAGCACTTCATATTGAATACCTACCCTAATAAACCAAACTATTCAAAAAATGTTACCATTCCTTGCTTCAACATAAATATATTTACTTTGCGGCAACATAAAACCTTTTTACATCTTTGTCCTATGAAAAAGAAATTGTTCTAAAAGATATAATTTGTATTTGTTTTATATATGCACACATACATACACACACGCACATACACACACACATGCATATATATATATATATATATATATATATATATATATATATATATATATATATATATATATATATGTGTATGTATGTATGTATGTATGTATGTATGTATGTTATTTTTGCTGTGGGCTGATAGGATTTAATGAAATAACGCTGTGGCCCCCATGGAAGAATCGTCACAATCAACTGAAAAAGTTTATGAATGGTGCTTAATTACGATAACTTCTATAATGTAAAAGCGTTCCATAATTTTAAAATATATCAGCTCTGAGCATTAATGATCTTTTCTTACGGTTTTCGAATATCCTCAAATATAAATTAAGCTACATTGATATATATATATATATATATATATATATATATATATATATATATATATATATATATAAAAATATATATAAATGTTTATATACCAGAAGTAATTTAAATAAAAGATTGCATGAACACAAAAGGGAACTTTTAAAAGATAAAAAACTCAATGTGAGATAATTAATAACAAAATCGATATAAAACAAACGAAAGAAAAATAAGTTAAATGAAGTTGTATACACTATATACACTTAAATGAAGTACTGAAGTGGACATCCAGCAGCGACAGTCTATTTCATGCTTAAACGCCATCTTCAGGCCATGTGCGTTGTATTTTGGTTCAACTATTTATATATGCTGGTCAATGGTGCATTAGGGATAGAAGATATATTCTATTACCCTGACAGTTATTGGGTGGGCAGTAATGATTATATTTCAAACTTATTCTAGCGGCTATTAAGTAGGAATAATTGTGTATCTGAATTTCTTTTATTTTTAGTTATTTTATGTTTGTTAACTTTTTATTCATTATTTGTTATTGATTACTGAATTATTTGCTGATTAGTATTATTGTTATAGTTAATTATATTTATGTGTTCATTCGTAGTTTGTTAATTTGTGTATTATTTACTTAATTTGCTTATTTCGTTAGATTTTTTATTTAATTTTTTCAGGGTTTGGTTTTACAGTGACTTGGTATATTATATTGTTTTCTAAGCAATTGTCATTTAATGGACAGTCGTACTTTGCTCTTCAGTTGCAGTTGGGTTTGGTTTGTGAGGGTTGTTGGGTATTTATTTATTTTTTTGTTTTTTTGTTTGTTGGTGTTTTTACGTTTTGTTGTACGGTGGATTGAACCACATGATGTTACTTTTCCTGTTGGCTTCTTTCTGCTGTGGTATATATGTCAGTCTTGTCGAAAATACATTTAGTGCACTCTCATAATATTTTTATCTTCGTTAATGATGGTTTCACTGGAATAATTATCAGATAACCAAATATTAATTGATTATGGGATCTTCTTGATTATTGTTGGCGTGTTTTTGGAAGATGTGTGTGTGTAAAGTGGTTTGTCGTTCAGTTATCTATATGATTGACATGATTGACAATATGATTGTCAATATGACTGGACCTTTTCTTAGGTTGTGATTTATTCTTACCGAACACAAGGAAAGAAGATGCGTCTTGACGAAGCCCCCAACATTTAACGCATTTTAAATTTAACTAACAAATATAAATGTTACTAAATGTAATATAATAATTTAATATTATTTGCAATTATTATTTATTTCATTTATTATATATATCATTATTATTATTATTATTATTTGAAGTTATATATGTATAGTATATTATTATTACGTTCAGTTTTCAGTTAGCGGGTTTTTCTGTATTAGTATTTATTTGTTTTTGTACAACTAACCTGAAGATCAATTGTTTTCTTTTATTTTCTGTTTCTGCATTTTCTACTCTTGTTCATTTTATATCAATTCATAGTTTAGATGCTAGTACTGTCAAAAATGCAACATAAATGATTTTATTTTATGTTAAATAATCTCCGAGTATATATTTTCATTTATTGTTTCTGGTATCTGATTATAAAATGAACAAACTTTTCAATATTTGTGTTTGTTTATTTATGTAGTATTTAGAAATTTGTGTTTCTTTCTAGTGTTTTTGCCTACCTAACATTTTATATACTAAAAAAAATTTAATTGTTTTTAGCTTCTAAAAGCGGGTAACGGGGGTATGTTCTGGCTCAACTGGAAGCCTCTAATCTCCAAAGGAAGGCCCTGTAAAAGGTGGATTAAACATTGGGCGTTATCGACTGCACCTGCCTGAAATAGCACCCAGTGGGTGCCCATTTTCTGTGGTCGACCAAACTCTTTCAATTGTCTCAACTACTCCACCCTGACTGTTGGTACTTGGATGTTAAAAAGTTCCACGATCTTCAAAGCTTGAATGTAGGACTGTCTGCGTTTTCAATCAGCTTGCACGCTTCACCATCGACGTAGCGATCCTCAGAGAAACCAGAATATTAGACGAAGGAAGAATTGACGAAGCGAGATCCAGATATTCCATCTTTTGGAAAGGTACGCCATTTCCAGAACGCCGGATATGCGAAGTGGGTTTTGCGGTCAAGAACCTCCTTGGTGCATGCCAACAATCTTCTCTCCAAAGCTATCAACAAGCACCTGATTCCCCACTTTTTCTTCTACCTCTTCACAACTTCCTGACATTCGTCTCAGTTTATGTTTGACTCTGATGAACATGTGAGGGGCGAGTTCTACCGACAGTTGAATGACCTCATCTCCTCCGTGACACCAAGAGCCGAGGACTGCTAGACAAACCTTGGTTGCTTATGTCCAAACTCAACATCCAGCCACGTAGACGCCCACACGTAAAACACCCAGCGACACGGGAATTTGACTTGCAAAAATTGACTAACCCAAACGTAGCCGGGGAATACATAGCGGAATTCGAGAGTCATCTACCTAATATATCACAGAAGAGTGCATTGCCAAAGGGAGTTCCGAAGCATTCAAAACCATTTGTGAAGAAACAAGACAGAAGAACTTCAACACGACGCTGACAGCCGATATATGAGACAATTCTTCTAAGGGATTAAGGATGTTCTCCGTCCTATCAGGAATTCTACATCCACCCTGAAAGCGGCTGACAACATCAGCGAACTAACCGAGACTCAAGACATTCTAGAGAAATGACAAAACACGTTTCTACCCTTCTCAATCGTGGTTTAATTTGTTTAACAGCATATCGACCTCAATGGGTTATTTAATGCTGACAAGATTTTTATTGCTGGTAATATATCAAAAATGTATTGCTGTTAATATTTTTTTTCAAAAATGCATTGCTGGTAATATTTGTTTTTTGAAAAATGTATTGCTTGTATTTTTTTTCATTAATGTATTCCTGGTAATATTTTTATCAAACATGTATTGCTGGTATTAAAACCTATTTTTAAACTTTCATATTGTTTTGACCACAGTTTGGGAGTTAAGTATTTGCCCATGTCAGTATAGATGTCTGCCAAACCTACCTATCATAATTTCGAAGTTGCTTAAAAGTCCATCGATTCCTTTAGATCCTGGGACCTGATAACATCCCCCTGGAACTGATAAAGCATGGTGGATTACTTCTCAAAACAAGATTCTTCCTCCTCCTTCTCCTCCTACGGATCTGGGGAAAAGAGGAAGTTCCATCAGATTCGAAGGACATTAATATCGTCACCATCTTCAAGAGAGGCGATTGAAACGTTTGAGGAAACTACCGTGGAATCTCTCTCCTGTTCATCACATGGGGGATCCTTCTTAATCAACCCCCGACCTTGTCAGAGGACATCTCCCTGAAAGTCAATGTGGTTTCAAAGCCCGCAGAGGAACCGTTGAGATCAGCAAAAAAGCCTGGGAATGATTTTCTACGATCTTGAAAAAGCGTTTGACAGTGTTCCAGTATCAGCCATGTAGCAGGTCCAAACGCTGTAACTGTCCCTAGAAATTCACGGCATTCACCCGAGCTCACACGAGGAAATGACGGACCGTGTCCAACACCAAACCGTCCATTCGGATCCCTTCGCCATCACATGGAGAGGGATGAATCAAATATGCGTACTTGCTTCTAACATCTTCATCTACTTGGCGCCAATGCTTCAGGAGATTTCAGACAACAACCCTGAAATCGACCAATATGGCACCGATGATAGCCCCTTCAACATAGCTCGCCTCTGGTCCAGGACTCGAACAACAAACACAGGAGTTACAGAGCTCCAATACTCCGATGACAACTGCACCCTGACCCATGAACTTAAAGACCTCCAGAACTCAACAGACATATTATCCAGAGTGTACATTCGCAACGGACACACCATCAACGTGGAAAAAGCCAAGGACATACTCCAATCACGACAGCGACATCAGCCACCACCTGAAGTCAAAATCAACAGACTGGATCTATAGAGCGTTGAACAGTTTCCATACTTTGCTAGCGTACTAACATCAAATGCATCTGCTGAAAAAGACGTCGATATCCAAATCAAGGTCGGCCACTCATAATACCAGAAACTATTTAAAATTGTCGTCGGTAATCCTGATAACAATCGGCTAAAACAAACCGCCAAGCTCAGGTCTACTGAACTGTTGTAATTTTGAGACTCCTGTATACCTGTGGGACATGGGAATTCTACTGAAGAAACATCCACAAATGAGAATACGTCATTGGACTGGATCACGGATTGCGAAACACGTCGCTAGACCATATCACGAACAAATTTAGTTCTCTGCACAAGGATCGTGATCCTAAAAAACATCATGAGTCGCCACCGACTTCAATGAGCTGGACACCTTGACGAATTGCCAGAAATCCGCCAACTCAAACAAATTCTCTCCTCGAAGTTCGTATCTGGCAAATGATCATGACCCCGACGTCGTTGATTCAAGGATCAACTCAAAAACAATTTGCTTAGGACAGAAATCCATCCAGTCAGTTGGGAGACGGAAGCTGCAGAAAGAAACAATTGGAGAAGATCAACCCGCGAAAAAACAACATCATTCGAAAACACCAGAAGAGATGACAAGAGCCCAAAGAAAAGGCGCGAACTTTCAATTCCTTGAACTCTCTTATCTTACTATACGGTGTCTACAGACGTCTCTTCAGACTCAACTTAGCACTCATTTCACAGACAAGGAAATGTTAATGAGTACCTCAGTACTCGGCAACGAGTTTTGCCAACGACGACGTGTCATGTCTAGGGAATTGTCTAGCTTTGTTTTTGTTTATGTCGAATTCTATTTCGATAGAACTATGAAACCGTCGTCTCTCTAGAGGTTGATATCATTCTTATCGATTATTCTACTTAGTTAATGTCGTAAATGAATAGACACATTGATCAACAAAAACTGAAACTCTTTCTGGAAGATGTTAATATCCATGAAAAAAATAAACGAAACAACGGTCGTTAAAGAGGCACAAGAATTTAAAAACGAAACCAAAAAATTATTAAAAAATGAAGAGAGTTCCTGATTAAGACTCAACAATCATCAATCGAAAACACCTATCCTCTACGGATTACCAAAAATTCATAAATCAGATATTCCTATGAGACCCGTTATATCAGAAATAGCGCCTCATATGAACAATCCAGAACAAAAGGAAAAATTTTAACCCCACTTCAATTAGCTGCTCCCTTATTAAAAAGAACTCTGGCAATCCTTTCAATAAATTAAGGAACATGGACATAAATAACAAATATATGGTTCAGATATGCAAATGTTCCTGTAAAGAAATGCCTGAACGCACTTAATAAAAAAAAATGTCATTTTAATACATTGGGGAAACTTTCAGAAATTTAAAAAATACCAATGAACAGAAAAAAGATCTTATACACAACAATTTATTAAATGCATTAGACATAAATAGAAATAAATTTATTAAATGCATTAGACATAAATAGAAATAAATTCAACCACAACTTCGACTTCATGAATGTCACACTTAATAAAAACAGAAATTAAATTAGCTAAACGGAAAATTTTTGAGATTACAGCTATCGATTATCATCAAAATATAAATATACACTCCGGACTTTTTCCAATATCTCCGTTCCTGATAGAATTTCTCCTTTATTAAGTCACGAACGTACATTATATATATGTATATATATATATATATATATATAATAGTGGTATCATTGACGTAAAGCGTTAAATTGTCAATTAAATCTTTTACAGAAGTAATTAGAAATCAGCATATATTACTTTTTAAATTACAATTTCTTATGAAAAGCATGTCTGTTTGCCTGTATACACATTCGAAAGAAACATTTACCTTATATTGAAAGATAATAAGAATGATTATAATCGAAGAAACAGAATTGACAAAATCTTGTGTGTCCATTGAAATTGAAAATACTCAAATCATTGATGTGAAAATGCAACAGATAAAATCTGTTTTGAGATGTGTTGGTTTGGAGACACATGAGTTATTCTCTTTTCATTCTTTACATTCGGATTTTCTTTGTTGTTATCATAACGTTTCAACCCATTAGACTTGTGAGTCTGTAGTACCCGACTCAGGCATTGAACTCACAATTATTATGCAACCAGATTCTTGAATCAACGCTTCCATTCTTCAGACTATCATCTCGTTGGACAGTTCTGAATCTAGAACTGAGTAAATTAACCCTCATGCCGACTGCCAATACTGCGCTACTGCTACCTTGCTGTCACGCTTGACCGCCTTCGCCTTCTGCTTCTTAGTTTTACAGCTGCTGAAGTCTTTTCCGACAATCTTCTCTCTCTCTCTCTCTCTCTCTCTATGTTGTAGTTTCCCTTCCTTTTCTTTATTCCTGTCTTTCGTAGCTTATTATATCTGTGCTAGGTTTATCGAAGAGGCCGTCGTAGTCCAATATATACGCTGATTCAATTCATACATCTGACTTTTCAGTGTTTTCTGTCTATGATTTTACTTCATTCCACAGAAATTGGTGACCAAACGTTTTCCTTCATATATGATCAGCAATACTTGATTTCATTGTCTCACTCCTTATTACAGCTTTTCAATCTTCCTCCACTGTTATTTTTAATACTGAGAAAGTTTCATCTGTGTATTCTTTGCCACAACTACAAGGGATGGAAGTTGTTGGGGTGTAGACTGTTCTCTATGTTAAACTTGATTCGACAAATATTTCCCCGTAAGGTTGATCTGCTTCTGCATATTGTTCTGATGTTGTATGAACTAGTCTTTAAAATTCTTTCTGATACGCTTTTGAATTAAGGCAGGCAGACTGTGAAAGCTTTCTATCTCTGCCTGTGGATGCCATGTTTGCCAGGCAATTGTTAGACTTAGGTGTACGTTTACTAGCGATCATTTGTGTTGAGTATGGTGTTGTAGGTTTCAGACAATATCTATCTTTACGCTGTATGAACGAATAAGGAAAAGTTAAAGTATTGTCCAATGAAATTTGGTTTGTGATACATGAATATCTAGAACTCATTCTCTATGCGAGTTATTAATACATTCCGGAAGACCAGCTAAGTTTTCGTTTCCTCTTGCATTGTGAACTGAATCGAAGGTCTTACTGAGTTCATATACTCCAGCAGTATTTTCAAGGCTTCCGCAGGAGGTTATATGATGAAGGTGTCATTTACATAACTCAGCCATAATTCATAATTTAGTAATTTCAATATTTAGAAAAATACGCATGTATTCCAAAATTTAGTTATATTTCAAATGTATCTATCT